ACTAAGATGGCGATCTGTAATGGCAGACGCACACGCTGCATCCGAACTCAACATCGAAGGTCTGATGATGCAGGCCAGGAAAGATTCAAGGACACGTCATCGCGACTGACGAGACGAGAGGCACCGCCCTCTACACGCCGTTTTCATCACTGGAGAAGAACTGTCCTATGGAACATTGCCGAAGAAGGGGCGTTACGTGTAGGTGTCCTCGTCAACACGCACTTGGCATAGAACATCGATTCGCTACGAAAGCCTTACGACCCGAAATCGGACGTTGAGAGTGAGAAGATGGGTTCACTCCTGCCTTTGACAATCTGCGTCGCCTACGCACCAACATCGAGCTAGCGACGAGGAGGAACACAAGATTTTATATGGAATTGGAAAGTTCCATAACAACGAGACCAACCTTCTTCGAAGGTCATCGTCGGGCGACTCAACGCCAAGATTGGGCCGAGGAAGAACGGCTGAAGACATTCACATCGGTACTCAAGGAGGATTGGAATAGCAGGGCGAAAGACTGGCTGAGTTTCAATCATCGTCACCAACACCATCCATGGCAACGCGCAGTTCCAGAAGCCACTCTCACCTTCGCTGACTTAGGGCAGTCACCTGATGCGACAGTTCCCATAATGCAGATCAGACCACATCATCTTCAATCGAAGGTTTTGCCTGACTGACGTCGCTGTGTGGTTCCAAAATTCACACGGGATCGGACCATCGTCTCCTCCGCCGGCCAAATCCACTTCTCGATGGCGTTGGAGGCAGCCAAGTCTCGAGAGAAATCTCAGGACAGTCATCAACTGTGACCACTTCGCTTCCTCGTCACTTATGGTAGATTCCGTCATCGAAAACATCGACGAGGAGTACTATCGGCCTCGTTGACATTTCACGAGGTGGCAAGAAGGCAGAGAGTTTTAAAGTCACCAAGAGTCGTGTCTCCGCGAAACTCGTCGAACTGATGACGCCAGCGTGCAGCCGTGCACGAGCTGCAGAGGCAATCAACAACTCACGTCGATTGCGTGCAAAGCTATGCCCAGAGAGGCGATAAAGGAAGATCTCAAGGAGCGAAGAGCAGCCAGTATAGCTAAGGCGCAGAGGCTGGAGGAGCATCCGCAATGCCCGGCCGGAAGCTATGCCAGCTACAAGACCAAGATGACCTGCCTCGACGTCCAGATGGCAACAGTTACTGGCATCCCGAAAGCGGCAATGAGAAAGTCATCCACGACTTCTACGGAGTCTCTTCGATACCATGCTCCATCTGCCTACTATCAACCGCGACGAGGATGAACTGTGTCACCGTTCAGGTCTCTCTCCGAGAGTCCGTACACGCCATCAAGTCGGGAAGAAAACTGATACAGCGCCCGGCCTCGACAGCGCGTAAACCGGAACATCTGAGAAGCACCGCCAGTACATCACGAACTCTGGCTCGACTCTCAGCGCTACCTGTCGAATGCAAGGTACCCACTCCGTGAAAACCAGCAGGACCGTGTTGGCGCTTTTTACGACAAGAAGAGAGACTTGGACGACATTGGCAACTATCGCCCAATCTGCCTGCCGTCTGTAATCACAAGGCTAGTCCACGATCATCCTTAACAGGATCGGCGAAATACTAGATGAAGGGACACATGCGAGCAAGCGAGGAGTTCCGAAGAGGGTTCAGCCACGATCGACCAATATCCACACGGTACGAGACTCATTGAAAAGTTCACCGGGAGTACAAGATGCCGCTTTCGGCTCACACCTCATCGACTTGAAGAGGCCTTCGACTCTGTGGGACAGAAGCGATCATCGAAGCCTTGCAACCAGGCGGGCGACTCGAGTACATCAAAAGATTCTTCGTGAGCGCGTACAGCAACTTTACGACCAGGATCTCACCATTTAAAGGGGAGGCCAGGGTCGAATGCGGGACGCAAGGAGGAGGGGCGTCCGAGCAGGGCGACACGCATGGCGTCGCCGCCAAACTCTGCGAGGCGCCGGCGGCGGCGTCCGGAAGAACGTCATTGCGTCAACTTCGAATGGGAAAAACAGGGAGTGAGCGTTCGACGGCCGGCAACTAAGCACCACCTTCGTTTGCCACGACCATCGTTCTTATAACGCCGAACATCGAGCGAAGCGGAGCGAATGCGGCTGATTTCGACTGCGCCTGTAGTAAGGTTGGCTCTACAGCTGAAAAGCCTTAACGAAGACGATGTTATGAAGAACGGATGGTTGCTGCCATGCCCCCATTCACGCTTCAGCGGAAACCGAACATCACCGAATGCTCAGCCGTGTACCTAGTCGGAAATCAATATGATGACCGATCTAGCTCCAGAGCTGAGCAGGAGGAAACGAGCGGCTTGGGGCGAGCTACAGAACATCGAGCGATATAGTGGAAGAAGACGCAAGAACATCCGGGCTCCGCGCACCGCTATCGATTCCGCTGCTCCTTCTGCCCCTAACCTACGCCTCAGAACTTGAACTCTGCCGAGGCAGTGACGAGCATGCGGTTCAGCGTTAGCCAAACGCGCTGTCGAGAGGACGTCTTAAGTAACCCTATACACGCAAGTGCAGGGGGAATCCGGAGTGGCCAACTACTGCCAACGAGCGAGATCAGGGACGCATGCCGGTTTTCGCCAAGGAATCGGAATAAGGTGGGCCGGACACGTTCATGACGATGTTGCCGATGACCGTGGACCAGAGCGGTTAACCGACTGATCGCCTCGGGACGTCAACACACCTGGACGACCGCCGGCCGATTAGTCAGAACTATCTTCACGAAAGCTCTGAACGAAAGGATATGATGGACTCCGTGGTCCCCCGACCAAGGAGCATCCACTGGACCACTAGCACGCGACAGGGACGAATGGGAGACGTTGCTGGCGCCCCGTCGAGCATATTAGATGATCAACGGGACGACAGCTGATACAGAGCTCTCGTGAAGATTGTGCTTGCTGTGTTCACTATAATTCTTGATAAGTAGGCAAATCAGGTGTTCAATGGTGGCATTAGTATCTAGTAGAAAGTTGGCGTAGAATCTTGATAACACCCCCCCCCCCCTCAGTCGTTAACGACTGTAGGTGTAGGAGGAGTGTGAATGCGGCGAGCCAGCAAAGTGGGTAGTCGCTCGCCGCTCAGTTACCTAGATAAAGAGTTGATCGAGTTTAAAATCCTACGCCGCTAGCACCTCGTAAAGCCCGATATCGTGCTTGGAACTGAGGTATCAGGACACCCAGGGGTGAGCGGAGATCGTGACACAAATATTATACGATTCGCTCAAATTATTTCCAAACCTTGAAGCGAGGAAGAAGGAGTAGGCGGCCGGAATCTGCAAGACCACGCCCTGTGCCGCTGCGGCAGGCCGCGTAGTGAAGGGTCAGCACATTTCCAATGTTAGGTGAATTTAAAGGAGCTTTGAAAGTTTCTGACTATTGGGCGGATGCGAATGTTTAGAAGCAGAGAGCGGACTCAGAAATTTCTCCTTTTTCTAAGAAGTTGAGATCTTCTCGGTTTGTGAGCATTTGGTTGTACTGTCATCTATAGAAGCAATACTTCAACCTCACTGTTCCATCGTTTTTGGTTTAGCACTAAGCCAAATAGACTAGGACTAAGCTGGTCGATATCGATTCGCCAAAATTAGCCCTCACTGAAATGAGTAATTGAAACAGCCATCTTAGAGGAAATGGACGACAGCAGGAATGAACGCTTGGATGGAATATGAAAAAATGTATAATGATGGAGAAAAACAGAACAAAAGAAAAACGGAGATATCTGCTTCTCTTCAAAAAGGGTTATAATCAAGGGTAGGGATGCGAGTAGAGGGTATATTTCTAAGTCCGCTACACTTCCTCCCGTCCATCTAAGAAGTTGATGATCATGCAAGTGGATTCTGCTACACGTAGCAGTTAGGTCTTCACCCGATGAATTTGTCTTAGAAGAGGATTTGGCAATCCGGGCATCTCCGGCGTTATTGTTGATGGCATGTGTGCCTCTATTCATACAGAATGGAGAGAATCACAGGTAAAATCAAGCAGTAAGCGAAGAATAGATCCGTGGCAACTCAGCACCTCATGAAATTGAAGTTTATGATTTGCAAGAATGGTCTCTGTTAGCTAGGCTTTCAGTTCCTAATATTATAATAAATTCACTCAAAGCCTTTCGGATCCACAACTTTAACTAAGCTTTTCGATTTGGGTACAAGAGCCAGATTGGTTGCGTGAGACCTTGCTTAGAATTCAAGTCTTTCAAAGTTATCGGCAGCAAGCAGTTTGCTACAAGTTAGTAACAAGGGACTTACACTTTCCGCTGCACGTAAAGGCGTCAAAGAAAAGCTGGTGTGGTATGTGCGCTCGACGATGAAGGTGAGGGTGCGGAGTGACCGCGAGTTGAGAAAAAGGAGAAAAAACTGCCGAAAACGGCGAAAAAAGAGGGCTGAGCTGCGAAGGAGTCTCATACGCAGGCAGCAGTATAAGAAATTATAAAATCCGAGGAAGGGGAACAAGACCTCGATGCGAAAGAGCACAGCAGATCAGTGATACAATACAGATGAGACACCGCCAGGTTAGGCGTGCCCGGATCCACGGGCATACAAGGATCAAGTTCGTAAGCCTCTAGCGTTTTTGTGAAACGTTTCGACGCGAGAATAGGGCCAACATCTGCAATTACCGAACTAGCACCTACATTCACGGAACGGCCTTCTTCAGTGAAGCTTATCGTGGGTGCTCCTTCAAAAACGAAGCGGATCGCCATTGAGCTTGGCTTCACGTGTTTTCATAGTTTGACTTTTGTAGCGATCAGGATGATTTATAAATTCTAAATTGCTACTTTCTGGCTCAAAACGATTGACGACAATTTGGGAAAAAAACGTAAGAGAAATCTGCAAAACGACTCCAAGTGGTAGCGTGATGCACACGGTGCATCACGTTGACAACAATGATTGCGTAAAAGTTGGCAAAGTCTCGTTCACTATGTAAATGACCAGCTGCTTAAAGGTTAGAATCTCTAAACACGCACACAAAACTTACACTTTAGGGATCGCGGTAGGTTTCGTGTTACGTTGATTGGTGACGTCACTCGAACTGCTTGCCACCATGCTACAGTAGCACGACGTTGGCACGTCATCCATTTCAAAAAACGGATTCGAGAAACTGCGTGTTCCCGCCAACTTGGATTTGGTTTTAATTTCAGGCTGAAAACAATGAAAATGGTATGCACGTGAGAACATAACAAAACGGATTCGCGGTGATATCAAAAACGGGCAGCAACAAAATGTGAGCGCTCGATTCAGCCTGCATTTACAACATTACCGGCACTAGAAATGATTGTAGTGATCATGATATGGTGAAAGACGTGAATACATGCGTCGTGCATGCTGAGCAGGTGAGTCAACACTACGTACGATTGGCGCCACTAAGCAGTACCGCGACCTTATTAGCACAACACTAAGCAGATGACCTTTAAATAAGGACGACAAAGTCATTTTGCTGGTGAATTCAATTTTTGGTAGGTCCTTGTTGATGACTGAAACGCGCCTAGCATGCGGATTAATTACGGCTGCAAGTTCGAACGCAGATGGTCCTACTGCCACACATTCACCCACCTGCATCAAATGCAAATGTTCAGATAGAAAGATCCTTTGCATCATAGATTTGCCCAAGATTTAATTTGTTCATTATTTACTTTCTCGTTTTTGAAACTTTTTGATTCGGTTACAATCATTATAAAGAGACAAAAAAATGTGCATCATAAAAATGGTAAAGCTTTTGGCGTCAATTAACCCGTTTTTGGGACGCGCCATGCATTCCAAGTATCAGAATCGTGGTGGTGATAGATTACGATTGAGACTCAAAGTGACTGCTAGGGGACGAATAGGAATAGCAGCTGTGTATGTAGAAATCAATGTATCCATTCTTCCAGATAATTGACTTTATTTAACCAACCCAGAGGGAGGAAGCATCAATGGTCTACGCGGTATCCGGATTCCACTCCTTCAGTCTGACTTTCTATTGCACCTCCTCCACCGTAAATGGTTCCACAGCAGTGCAATATTTTCCAGTATTTTACTTATCAGACATACTAAATTTGATGATTAGCCTGATGGTGTAATTGTAGTTTGTGACTTAGACAATTAAAAACCGAGAACTAAGTGATCTGTGCTGCCTTAAAACCAGCAGAATGTTGTTGTAGCACGGGGAGAGGAATCAACAAAGGCGCGACAACAGAGGACTGGACATGAAACTATGAAAAGAAACGAGCAAGCGGGCTGGTCGGCTCAAACATTCCCACGATTCGTCCTGGAGACATCTACTTTTTCAGTGGAATGAAGAGTTTTCCGAAAGTGACATTCCCAATGCATTTATAGTGAAGTGGAAGCTTTTTCTTCAAGAATGTCAAGCCTATGGTACTCGTGATGCTCGAGGGAATGGATATGTTAATCAAGCGGTCCACGTCGATGTAGAAACAGGGAGTATTTCTGAATTGACGACGAGACCAATAGCTGTGGGCAATAGTGCTGGAGCGACAGAGGAGCATTGAGGAAGGAATGCGTATCGATCCTCGTCCTCATTTGCCTTTTCGATTCGCCCTGCCTCCCGCCGCTATTTAGAGGATCTCGAGCGATTTCTGGCCCCGGCCGTCTATGATGTCCTTCAAGGTAAAGGAAGCTCCCATATATACGAGTTTCTCCTCACTACCTCTTATTTGAAGAGGAACGCCGTTCATGAGTAGTCGACAAATCCAAGAGTACGCCACGAAGTGGTTCTCCACGAACGAGATTGCTCTAGGTAATTACTTCTTGAACCCTCTCGCATTTCTATAGACAGGCTTGGAACATTCTGTCAGCTGTCGTGTGCTGAGTTGCGTGAACAAAGTGCGCAATTTCGGGCGCCATTCGTGGACGGTAACAATTAGCTGAATGCTTAATTTAACCCAGCTGGAGTCTCGAGCCATCGGTCACGAGACCTGAAAGGGCACAGCGGGACCATGTGCAGCAATGAAGCGTGAACTTTACAGATTAGGTCAAGAGCTAAGCAGAATTGAATTTTGACTGAAAAGAATAATAGAATGGAACTTTAGCCAAAACTGTCATTCTCAGATGCGGTCAGTCGCAATCTACTGCACAACGTTGAGCACCTCCCCTCAACAGGCACCCAACTTGAGAAGCTTTCATAAGCTTTCCGCTTTTCCACGTTCCATGCTCTCTCATTTTTGAAGATTTTTCTGCAAATGCGGGAAAGGACATAAAATCGTGTGTATTATGCCTTACAGAAGGGGTCGAAAACAGCACGAACGTCAAAAAGTCGTTATCGATTCACTAAATTTGCACGTTAGTCTGAACTACAAACAGGAGTTGAGTTTTAGGCCGTAACAAAGTGTGCCTGGAGGGTAAGGGCCTCACATAACTAGACCCTAAAACCCTTCCCAGTGTTTCGATCGAGGGAGTTATGGCTGCTTCAGGGTGAAATAACGATAGACCTCTGAGCTCGTATGCAATGACAGAAGCCTTCTGTTCCAGTGACGGTGAGGGCAATGGATAAGGACTTGCTTCTAGTTACCGAGGCGTTTTTAGGAATATTTTGTAGGAAACATTCAATAATTATTAAACTTCGATCTACCTATTGAGTCGCCCTGGACGTTTTGGTCTTTTGCGATGCTCGTCATCAGCAATGTGGTTGTCATTCGCCTCCCTCCCCCTCCCCCATATTATAGTCTTCTCATAATAATGTCTTTTAGACGGCCTTCGGACATTCCGCACCGGAACCCATTTCCAGGATCACAAGCCCATGCTTTAAATCTTCTTCGCCGCGGATCTCAGTCATAATTATGTGAGCGCTGAGCTCTTCTGTCACTTTTAGCTTGATGCGCTGTCTTATGCGTATTGAGACGGAACCGTCTGAAAACAACTGGTGAGCTCGATTTGGAGGTTTTAACAGGAGGCTCTTTGAAGTGTTCGCGAGCACAACTGGCCAAATACTCGCAGCAATGGACATAAATTTTTTGTCTTACACGAACAACCGACTTCAGAAGAAATCGCTAGAATTACTCGAAATGACCGGCCAGAAATTATTGGATAGTGAATGGGTTAGGTCATCACGTGACTGTCGAAACTTCCGTGTCCTGCTGTGGGGACGTGCGTTTCTCCTCCCAGGGTCAGGTCACCACAGTTGCGCGATCGTTGAAGCTTAAGGTTAAGTTTGGGTTCAGACTTAGGTTAAGGCTTATGCTTACACATTGGCGTATGCCTAAGAGTATGATTAGGCTAAGGCTTAGTCCTAAGCTTGCTTCGAGCGGATGAACGGCGTCTCGATTTCAGGTGACCTGACCTCAGGAGGAGAAATGCTACGCATCCGCTGCTGTGCTGATAAAAAAATTGCGAGTGTTTCTCGAAAAAAGGAAACTACTCATCTTACTTTTGCATTATGGAAGGAACACAGTTATTTCACAGTGACTGAAAGAAGCTACTGAGGTAAGCGCAATTTGCTGGGAAAATGAGGCTCCAGACATGGTGTAGCTCGATTCGGGACCGGTTTCCTCTCCGCAAAGTGGTACAGAACAGCTCATCCGACATACACTTCAGGCGTTCTGCTCTCTTTGTGTACGAAATCCTATATTCGCATATGCGCGAAATAATTTGTAGCCTCCCATGCATCGCAGAACTCTCTTCAATCAGCGATTATTCATTGATGCCATGTGGAAATGCAAGCAGCTTCGAAAGGTTAGCAATGGCAGGAAATGAAAGGAGCATTCTGATAAATTATCCTGTGAACATTCTCTTTCAAATGGATAGGAATCAGTAGAGCAACGGAGGGAGCATCATTGAAATAAGTTACTAAAACAAAGTCTTAAAAATGAAAATAAAACCAATAGGTTAAAAAAAGTTCTCTTAAAAAGCAGAGCAGGGACACTTGCTGCATCCTTATACTTTACCTTGAGGCTGGTAGCCATTTTCATCTCTTTTCTCGCGATTCAATCAGGATGGAAGGATTACAAGGACTCCTAGGAATTAGGCGTTGAGAGACGAGAAAGCACGACGATTTTGGATTACGGCCGAGATGAAATTGATTTTCAAAAGCACTTGGTCGTATTTTAATGGGGTCAAAATATTAATTAAATACTTCTTTTCTTCATTACCATGCGCTTGACAGCATTGACCTTTTGTGGGTGCAACTCATTAACAATTGCCCAGAGGAAATTGATCGAAGGAAATTGCTTGAGACATAGTGTAACTCGCAGGGAATACGATCGAGTTCGGACATTTTGATGATGCTTTACAGTTTCCCGGATCTTCAAATTTTGTTTTGTTCACTGTTGTCCCACGAGACAAATTTTTGGCTATGCCGAATATCCATAGAGGATCTGTTGTTCGAATTCTTGCGTAGGTGGTTTGCCATGAGCGACATATTACCAGTAGCGCCGAGGGAGGTCAGATGGATCGATAATAGCTTCGTTCGGCGGTACTGGTTGATGGCGTCACGTTTGGTGCTAGGCGTAGTGAGGGGGCACGGCGGCGGACGCGGACGGTCATGTTCGGCTGTGCCTCTCAGGCTTACTCCTGAGAGCCGTTTCAGGCGCACCGACGAGTTTTAGAGAATCTAATGGCCGTCGGGACTAAGCTTTGGAGAGCAAGACGACAGACGCCGCGCCGCGCCTTGCACCCTCAAGCGTACTGCTTAGCACAAAAACTTTTGGTGCCAGTTAACTCACACCGTGGGCTCGGTGCCGGAATTTTCAGTAGTGTCAGAGTGAATGGTGTTGATGTTTTCTTTTTCAATGCGCTGAATGTTACTTAACACTCAGAAATGATCATGCTCATGAAGAATAACAGTGTAAAGAGAGAACAAGACGAGAATGAATGAAGAATTACCGAGATGGATGAAGCTAGCGGGAATAAAAAACAAAAAAGAAAACAGGCACAGCGGGCAGCTTCAGAAGGTGCATTCTTTGGGAGGAGAAGTTCCCACACAAGATCTACTTCTACGTAGCCGTCGAAGGTCGAAGTAATTTTGTAGGCGGTGATAACTTGAGCTCTGGAAAAACACTTCAAATTGGGACCTTGAAGCAGAAAGGCGGATTTGAGGCAATCGTCATCGCTGAACATTCACGCACAGGTAGGCTGTCGGCTTGTGG